CGGGTGATGGGCATTTTTTTTTTATATGATGTGTGCACACCCGGGTGTTGGATCCGGGTGTGCACACATCATTTTCCATTTTTTTATAAAGAATTCAAGTACATATATATATATATATATATACAATGCTAAACAAGCTAAGGCAAAAGATCCTAGGCTAACGGTACAAAATTGAATAAGGAAAAACTGGGAAATAAATGTGCCTAACGGCTAACTAACAGCTAGTGATTGATTTTGTGCTGTGATTGAGATTCTATGCTAGTGAATATCTCTAACATAATTTTAAACAATTTTAGTCTCTAAAATATCTTTTGTACTTTTTCATCTTTTAGTTATGATCCTTCTATTTGTGGAAAATATGAGGAAAATGTTCATCACTTGTTATTAACTTGTCCTATAACTTTTAAGCTTTGGTTAAAGCGTTTTAACTAGTGGGATGTATCATATGTGTTACACTCGGAATGTCACAAAGCTTTCATGCAACACTGTTGGCTTACTGAAAGAAAGTCAACTAATGTGGGATGTGAAATTCTTTGGTTTGCATTCATTTGGATGATAGGGTTGCATAGAAATGACAGAATCTTTCGGGGCACAGTGGTTGATATTGAGAACTTGTTGGGACTAATACAAGCAAAGGCATACCATTGGATAACAGTAAGATTAGGAGTAGAGTTGTTTTCTTTGTCAGATTGGATAGCAAATCCTAAAGCATGTGCGAATTTGATTAAGTATAAGGGAGGGAAGGTTAGGATTTTATGCTGAGTCCTGCAAGGTTGTAAGCTTTTGTTTATGTGGTTTCCTATACCTTTGTATATGGAAACTACTAAATATAATATGTATGGATGGCCAAGAGTACCCCTTCTACTCTATTAATAAAACTTTTGCAGTTCAAAAATGAAAAAAGTTATGATGCTTCTAGTAGTTTTGTTCATTAAGTCTATCCAATTGACTTTTTTTAATTTCTTTTAATTCTTTAAAGACCCCAATGTGTATAAAATAAAAGTTTAGATACTAAAATGTACAATAAATATTAGTTTAAGGATAAAAATTGAATATAAAGGAAAAGTTTAGGGGCCAAAACACAACAGACAGAATTACCAAGAAAGGCATTTTTGGAAAAAAGTATAAAAAATAGTTAGGTACTAGAATTGTTTAAAATTTAAAGTTGAGGGACACATTTGGCATTTAACCTTTGATATATGGCAGGATGAAGTATAGATAGAGGCAAAGGTCGCCGGGAACAGGGGGAGACTTACCGTAGTGGTGGTGGAAGTCAGAAACAAGAAAAATCAGCAGCTTATTGCATTAGGCAAACGGTGGGCCTGTTTGATTAGTTCGACATCACTCAAAAGCAACTGTAAGCTTTGAGATTTTCATCTTTCGGAGATCTAGGCTAGAAAAAGGAAAAAATGTCACTAGAGAACCGAAGCTCAAGATCAAGAGCCATCACAAGGAGACTTCGCTTGTTTTCAGCCATGGAATCTAAATCAAAAATAGAACATTACAAGTAGAAAGAACAATGCCAATCATTCATCATATTTGGCCAAAAAAAATAAAGTCATTTATCATAATATCAAATAATTTTGATTGTGCAATTTTAATTTTGTTCCTAAGCAACAATCATTGATCAAGATCATGACAGTAAATTACAATATATCAAGTCGTATTTTCTTATAATATATATATATATATATTTTCAACCTTATGTTTGCTGTACCATATCGTTATATTTGTAACATCTACCAAGTTTTTAACGAAACATACTCTACCAATGAAACCTCGGCGTAGTGGAGAGGCTAAGGTTTTGGAATCTTGAGGTTGGGCAGCAACTAATCAAAACATTACAACCAACAAGAGTTTGATCAAGTTAGTACTCAATGACTTAAAAACTTTAATTTGAAGTTAATGTCAAAAATTTAAATATGTGTGATGTCAAGTAGTTAATCTATTGATGTAAAAAAAAAAAAAAATCAACACATTGCAAAACTACAAAATAGATTGCATTTTTGCTGGTGCAATTTAACCCAAATGTAACCTGGTTCATGGAAGAGTTCTATCAATACAATCCAAAGTAAAAGACAGACAATTCTTTAATTAGTTGAATTACAAATCGTTTGCATTTTTGTTGGTGTTAAAACAATTAGTGACTTTTAATTTATATCTAAAGACATGGGCAGAATTCAACAGACAATTATTTAATTAGTTGAACCCGTAAGATATATGGTCAATTCAGTGTAATTACTTTACATCTCTACATTGAATTGAGTTTTACACATCAAAATTGCGCCTTTCATCTACCAAAAATAGCACTGAGATTTCATTCATGTTCAATCTAACTTTGCTCTAATGACAATGTTCTGATATTACTGGCGTTATTAACTGCACTTGCCACTACAAGAAAATTGGGGAAAGCCAGCGTTTTTATGCCTGAAAGGCAGCAATTTTAAACGCTATTACAAATTGTTCCAGCATTTGTAAAATCGCTGTCGAGACGCCGCCTTTAGAGTAGTCGCCTTTCGCACCTCTCGGCGTGTTTGGAAATGCAAGTACAAGATACCCAAGGCAGCGATCTTATAAATGTTAATATGGATGATTAAAAATGCTACCTTTTGATCCCCTCAAAATGCCAAACAAATGCAAACAACACCCAGCAATTTTAACTATATATTTGGTAGCGTTTTTAAGCGCTGATTTATCTACTTGGTATTAATTATTATTATTATTATTATTATTATTATTATTATTATTATTTATCCAAAAAAAATGCTAGTGAAAAGAAAAAAAGATATTGAAACATTCAAATAAACATTAAAGGAAAAAATATTCATTAATCTCATATCAGCCAAGTTTCTCATTCAAAATTGCATTCTAAATAGATTTATTAATCTCCTACATTCTACACGCAAAGTAAAAAAGTTCAACATTCAAAATAAAGAGTCATTCCTAAGGAAAAATTAAATCTCTTAATTTTCCATGTCCGTCCATTTAGCCATAACTGAAGTGGAAGGAACTGAGAGTTGCCCCTAAACAAAACAAATAAAGAAACTGAGTTAGTGTCAAACTCTTCAAAGATAAATAGTGTACAGTGCTCAAGCTTGAACAGAGTTGTCTAAGATGAGATACCTGTATTTGAAGTATTGGATATCTTCAAAACAGCAATCCCGTATTAGTAGTCTCTTAATCAATATAATTAGCAAAAATTGCAAACTGTCCTGAGCTTCTCAAGTATGTTTTTAACCTGGCATAAAGGAGCGGCCAAGAAGTGGCCAAGAGGCTACCTTTTTCAGTAAATTATTTGCAGAATTCAAATATTTTTAATATAATGACCGCTTAACAAAGTATTTTCTCTCTATTTAATAGTAGAAATAACCAGTTGTAACCATTTGATAGACTGCTCATCCCGCAAACTATATTTTCATTGTATACTAACGGTAACAGATCATCCATCTTGAGAAGAAGACAAATCAGGTCTGTACATACCAGAGAGAAGATGAAACAGGGTCTAAGAATGTAGTATTATGCAAAGAATAACAGAAAAACCAATAAAAGTCAAAAGGAACACCAATCTTTTCCAGTTGGTGTGATATGGAAATGTCCCCATCTCTCCTATGGATCCAACTTATGATCGAATTTAGTTGCACATTAATTGAAGTACCTAACTGTTAATTGAAGGGCACAGAAAATAATCACTCCTTTACCTTTAACAAAGATAAAAGCGACCGCCTGCCTTGCAAAAGTTCGATCTCAGAGCATTTGGTCAATACACTCACTGATTTCAAATTTCTCAGTATACCAAAAACCACTCTTCCATTTTAGCTAATTAATCATTATTCTTCAAAGCTAAAGAAAAAATATATTCCAAAACTAGTTAGATCTAAAAATAGAACTATGCCCAATCAAAAATGAAGATTAAAAACCAATTAATTCTCAACTGGCTTGATTTAACAGGATTACATAAAGAACAGAATAAGGG